GCCAAAACAAGGTAGCTTCTTGGTCAGGGAACCATATGTTACAAAAGAGCAAAGAAAAACCAAGCACGCTTCCTAGAGAAAGGGAGGGACCCATTTATTAACACTAGTGACTAGTGGACTCCGGGAAGTAATTTCCAAATCAGAGAGTGAGTAACATACAGAGGCCTTGGTTTTTATAATTTTATGGAGTCTTTGTCTTGCAGATATGATTTCCGCCCCCTTGTGGGCTTACAGGAAGGCCCCCAGGTGTTGGAGTTCCCAGGTCATATCAGATGATCTTCCTGGGGCCAGCGATAATGACCTTCCCCGACCCCTGCCCCCGCACAGGGCAGTGCATTTGTTATGCCCAGATTTCAAGATCCCCAAAAGACCACCAGGGAGCCAGCCAAGTCCGATGCAAAAGCAAAGAGTCTTTATTCGAGCTAGCTTGGCTCCCCGACCACACTCACCGATGCAGTGGCAAGTGGCAGAGAGCGAGAACTCTGTGTGGAGAGGGGTTTTATAGGGGGGTTGGAGTAAGGGGAGGAGAAAGGACTGTGAGCCCTGCCGATTGGCCAGGCACAAGTCGGTGTCTTGTTACACAGGATGTGGTCATATCTATGGCGCGCACTTCCCTTGATTGTCATTGGTTAGTTTAAAGAAATCCTGGGTGTGGCTAGCAGAGGCTTGGGCTTCCGGGAAGAAGCTCCTTGCCGAGCACATGGCTGCCCAAAAATGGAGGATCCAGGGTAAGATAGAGGGCATAGCCCTTACCCTGGGGCAAGATGGAGGGCGTAGCCCTCGCCCTTTCATTCCCCCCTTGTCTTGAGACTTCCGGCTCAATCATGAGACGGACTGCTGTTAATAATGCAAGGGCCGAAAGTCAACAGCATTAGGAGGATTACAAGGGGTCTGGCGAGGTCCGCTGTCCTCCCGAGGGTGATCTGCAGCGGGTGTGTCTGGTTGGAGGTCATCTTCCACTCAGGCTCCCTGCTGTCCTGGGCACAGAAGGAGCTGGGCTTGTGACCTGGCAGAGACAAACTATAAGAAATGGTCTGGTGGAAGGGAAAGAAAACATTTCAGTTTTAACAACTTAAACACAACAAGAATGGTAACTGACCACCTTCCAGGACAGCTAATACATAGCTATAACAATGTCCCTCAGT